TTTTGAAACATTTTATAATGACGGATTTGCCCCTTTTATTTTATTTTTTTTAATTTCTTTTATTACATTAATTAAAAACAATTAAAAATAATACAAAAATAAAATACTCTAACCCCCCCCCCCTTCTCTACGTAGGGTTTCAAGAAACATCTTTTTGCCTCTAACAAATCGTCGCCTCCTCCTTGAGCCGCTTCCTCCGATCTTGAAAAATCGACTATCCCTCTCCTCCGATATTGGTCCCCGTCACAAATGGAGATCGGGCCACAAACTTTATCGTCGTCTCCATTAGGATGATACGAAGTCCGATGGTTCTGGATATGGTTGTTGGAGATAGATGAAGCCGCCACCGCCTATACACACTCTAGCAAACCCTAGCTCCGGTGACGAACAAACCCTAGATCCGGTGAACTCCGATGGTGTTGGATTTCTCTCTCTCCCTCTCTCTCTCTATCTCTCTATGTGTGTGTACCTAAGTCGTCATTAGAAACCTAATTACCATACGTAATGATGCTTCCATTTTTTTGGGAATTTAATCGGGTGCTCCCAGTTGCGGTTTCTGGTGGTGTCGTGGTGGAGAAGAAGGCTAGGAAATTTCCTCCATTGATTTAATCAGGTATGGATATATCTCTGATTTCATCATGAACGAGTGCTTGTTTGATTTCTGATTTTTGACGTGAATTGGAACCACCGGCACATTCTGGCTATAATTTACACATCTGCACCTTAATTAAAGGAAATACGAGGATCCTTGAGAGATATGATCGATCTAAGATAGGAACAGGGTTAACTGCGATTAACCAGATGGAAGATGGAAGGAGGGAAAGCAAACACACAGATGATATAAGAGAAGAAAGGGGTTAACAAAGTTTGTGGTTCTAAATTTTTGTATTTCTGATTGATTCTTTGTTTTTTTATTTTTTAGAGAGTAGTGTGTTTGATTATATGTATCGATCCCCAGTGTGTATCTATATGTGAAAAGTGTTTGTGGTTTGAGTTAAAGGAAAAGGATAGGATGAAGAAGACGATGAGAGAGAGAGAGAGTGTGTGTGTGTGAGAAAGTATTTTTATTATTCTTTTTTAATTTCTTTTAATCATAAAACTATTTAAATAAATAAATAAAAACTAAAAAAGCAAAAGCTAAGGGCAAAATCGTCATTATAAAAAAATTCAAAGCAAATTGGACCAAACTCGCAACAAAATGAAAAGTTTGGACCTCTGGTGCTAGTCCAAACTTTTTTGGACCAAAGTGGCAATTTTTGACATACCACAGAGACCATTCTTGCAGTTTTGTCTATATATATATATATATATTATATATATATATATATATATATATATATATATATATATATAATATATAATATAATATATATATATATATGGCTAGGTTCAAATGTGGATGCACATCTATTGTGTGGACGTGTGAACACGTGCTATTCTGTGAGAATAACTAAGAAAATATGTTCTTTGGTAATATGAATACATTCAACATCACATAAGTATTGTTATTATCAAACATTCTCACTAATTAACACATTTATAAGGGTATTATAGACCTTTTTTTTTATGATTCTCATTCCGTCAGAATGTGTTATTGAAAATCGTATTCTGTAAGAATGAAAATGAGTGAAAAACGATGCGTGAGAACAAAAATAAATACAAATTACTGAGAATGCATGATAATGATGATAGTTGTGTAAGGTTTAACATATTCACATTACCAAACAATTTATTCTCTTAGTTATTCTCATAGAATAACACTGTCCACACGTCCGTACAATAGATGTTCATCCACATTATAACCTAGCTCTCTCTCTCTCTCTCTCTCTCTCTATATATATATATATATATAATATATATATATATATATATATATATATATATTGGACTAAGTTCGTGTGAGACAACCTAATTTTGTGAGACCGTGAGACCACCTTTTTCTAATGAAATATTCTAATATTCTAGTGTTCATAAAAATTAAACGTGTAAATTGTAATATTCTAATATTTTAAAACAATTATTTTAACATATTTTACATTGAAATATTCTAAAAGATATAATGTTAGAATATATTGTATATTCTATTTTTACGAACAATAAAATATTAGAATATTTCAATAAAAAAATTTGGTCTTATGGTCTTACAAAATTATGTCCGTCTCAAATGAACTCTTATATATATATATATATATATATATATATATATATATATATATATATATATATATACATACATAGGCCTAGGTTATTCTATTCAAACTAATTATTGTGTTATTGTATGCATAAATATGGGCCAATCATTTTACTTATTTTAAGAAAGTGATTAATACATATTATTGAATTAAAAATAATCGAAAAATATCATCTAGTTTAACTAGAAGGGTATTTTAGTCAATTAACATAAATTTAATAAAGGAAAATTGCATTTTTTAAGGGATCATAGATTCTATTATTTTAATTCGGACATTCTGACAGAATATGTTTATGAGTATATTCAAAATTAAAAATATTCTTGAACCATAAATAATAAAAATATTCTTGAACCTATTTCTTGATCATGAATTTAAAAACTCTTTGCAGAATAACAATTCTCTTGAACAATCACTAGAAGAATAAAAACAAAAAATACATTATTTCTTATAGAATACGGGTAAAACTTGTTAATAATTACATTTATTGTTAAAGAAAAACTTAAAAAACAATCAAAACCGGAAAGAAACATCAAAATCTAACAACGACTAATACATTCTAAAAGAATATTGTGGTCCGTTTCAATTTTGTGGTCCGTTCTTGAAGCATCAACTTCTGTGATTCCAACAGAATTGGAATTCGTCATTCCATTCCAACAGAATTGGAATTCGTGATTCCATTCCAATAGAATTGGAATCTCACAAATATCATCCATTGAATCAAGAGAGCAAACAACCCATTATGAATTAGTAGATGACGAAAAAGAGATCTTGAACGATCAGCCATTGCCATTCACCAAGCTTTTAACTTATGCAGATGTACTGGATTACACTCTAATGGCTCTTCTTGCATCCTTGGGCTCCATCATCCATGGGCTTGCTTCCATCCTCCTTCATTAGCAAAAGGAGTATCAAACCTCCTTTGTTCTTCCCTCTCCTTCTCCTATCAAAAATCAAAGCCAAACACATCAGTGGATCGTTTTTTTTTACCTGCTTTCATCCTCCTTCATTAGCTTTTGTCAAACAAAAAGAAAAAAGAGTGAACAAGAAACGACAAGGCACTTACCTGTTATCGATTCAGAGCAACACCTCTCGCACATATGTTTTTTCTTCCTCCTCCGAGTCGAGCACTGCCACCCCGAACCCCTTACCGAAGCTGTTGTGGCTTATCGTCCAACCCCACGCACCTTTCTCTTCCCCCTCGCTTCTCACTCCCTTTCCCCAACCCCATAGAAGCGTCTCTGCTTCTTCCCCTTCCCCTTCCTCTTCTTCGGCCTAAGTCGAACCCTGGAGGCCCATCACCGACTGCGAATCGATAAGATCAGCAGCCATCGGACCTCCTTCCTTCGCATCTCACAGCCACGAAGAACAATTGAACCTTCGCTGCTTCTACACGTCATCGATGCTTCGGCCTTGTCAAGCCCCGGAGACGGCGATAGCGTCGCAGCAGGTGAATGGGGCGAAGGAGAAGAAGGAGGGGTTTCTGATTCCTTCGATCTTGTTCCCTTTCGATCGAATCCGTAAGGTTTTACAAAGTGACGTCGGTGGTAATTAAAAGGGAATAAATTAGGTTAAAATCAACTAGCATAATTAATAGGAAGATTATTTAGGGAATTGTTTATAAAATTACCTAATTACCCTTATTTATTATTTATATTTTAAATTTTGATTGGCCCACATTTATGCATACAATAACACAATACTTAGTTTAAACAAATGAACCTAGCTCCATATAGTATAATATATATATATATATTATATATATATAATATATATAATATCTATATATATATAGATGTGTGTGTGTGTTTTTAACACTCTTCATAAGATTTGTAACCTTCATAACATTCCAATATATCTGAAAGTGATTTTTGTTTTTATTGTTACTAAGGTAAAAGAAATATGATTAAAACCATCGAAGTTGATTTATATTGGCATGGGTATGATATAGTTACTGTACTAATACTTCCCATACATTTTTGTTTCCATATATATGTTTTTAAAGTATTTTTGTCTTAAATAATACTATATCTTAGTACGATTTTTTTTTAAAAAAAAAACATCTTGAATAACTTCAAATTTTCTTCCTCTTGACTTGTTATTAATTTAATATAATAAGTAAGAAAGAGATCGATGGGATGTTTACACATGTTATAAAGCTAATTATGTGGATAAAGTCATAATAAATAATTATTTGGTAGTTAAATTGATCATAATTGCGATTTTGTCAAAATTTGGAACCATAATAATTAGATCGGGAAAAGTAGATTAATATTTGAGCAAAAATACTAATTATCGAAAATATTTATAAAAATTACATGGCTATCATACACTTTAGTCTGATAATTATGTAATAATACTTTTTCAAAAAATAAAACACTTTAACCTTCCGTTGATTAAGACTAAGGACATGTTTGACATGCATGTTTTAATAGCTTTTAACTTTTAACTTATAAAAAAAAACCCGGAAAAAAAAGTTTCGTTTGGGAATAAAAGCTTCTAGCTTTTAGATTAAATAAAAAGCTTCATATCAAAAAAATTATTTTAAATAACGTTTAACAAAAAAGTTATATATATATATATATATATATATATATATATAATATATATTTGCACATTTACTTAATTACTTTTTTTTAAAATTATGTTTCTATTTTAAATTTGACAAAGATGTCTTTCTATCTAATTTTATATATTTTAAAAGATTCTAGTTATTTTACATAACACTAATAAATAAATAAAAATTAAAGTTTTCAACTTACAATTAGTTCATCTGTAGATTTTTTCATATCATGTTCTTGTCTCTTGAACATGTCGCAAGCATTTCCATATGAATATCACAGAAATTTTGTTTTACACATCGAGGCAGTAGAGTAAGTGAGCCAAAATTCAAAGCTGAGTTACTAAAATAATGTACTCTCAAATGTCCAAGGACTAAATTTGCAATTGAGCCAAGATTAGGCAAGAGGGCCTAATTTTTCAATGTCATGAAAGTGACCAGCCCCACCACGAACTCCCCCCCCACCCCCCCCCCCCCCCCCCCCCCCCCCCCCCCCCCCCCCCCCCATCTCCCTTTCTGGGCACTTTTTGCCAATTTCTTTTATGAAATTTTGTGTTGTCAGATATCTTACACAACAAAATAGTAAAGAACATCCACAACCAACGCCTACCTCACAACACACAGCCGCAGAAAACAAGGAGGAAGACGAGAAAGGTCCGATCTTGATTAGGGTTTTTAAATCCTGCAACAGAAACACATCTGCTTTGCTTCAGTGTATTTGGGTTTATAATTTGGTAAGTTTTCATGATTTTGTTTGTTTTTGCTTTACAAAGATGGGTTTTCCGGGATCCCTTCGGGTTTTCTGGATCTAGAAGTTGTCGGTTTGATTCGTTGGTTTGAATTTGGTCTCTTTTTGTGGAAAATTCGATGCTTTTATGTAAAAATATGAACTCTTCTTGTCAATTTCTGTTCTTGTTCTATATCCCTTGATTTTTTTTGTTGATGTGTGCTGTAATTGTGCTCAAAATTTCATTGTGGATTTGATATTTTAAAGCTCGATCTGGCCGGCTTCAGTTTGCTTTGACTTTTTCAATCTTTATTCATATTTATTCAATTCACACTAATTCATACTTTTCTTGCAATTATGAAACTCTTTTTGCCATTAATTTTAGTTTTCCAGCATGAATTTTACATAAGTTATAGTATCTATACACAATTTTCACATGTACGTATGTACTACAATCTGATTTCTTGAAATTCTTCACCTTTTTGCTAGCATCTGTAGATGCTAAAAGAACCCTTTTCAATTTAACTTTTATCCCTTTCGCATCTTTAACATTCTGCAGATCAAGACTCTAATCCTAAAAAAAAAATGTCCTTTCCAATCTTTACTAGACAAATATTACTATATTCTTCACATAAGATAAGCTATCAAATTGCTTAGATAATTTGTTCTTGAATTGACCCTTTTTCTGAATCAATAAAGTGTGTCCTTTTTCAGTCAAAAGAGAATTTTCTTTTTCCAAATTTATAATTAATTTCTCATGTATCGATCTTCTATGCAGGTTGCAATTGAACACATTAACCATTGAAGTAAGAGGGGGTCAAAAGGGGTATTCTTGAAAAATGGGGTACCAATGTGATCATTGTGGGGAAGCAAGATCAATGGTGTATTGTAGATCAGATGCAGCCTACTTATGTCTATCATGTGATCGTGTTGTTCATTCTGCAAATGCTCTATCAAAACGCCATTCAAGAACACTTGTATGTGATAGGTGTAATTCACAACCTGCAGTGGTTAGATGTGTAGAAGAAAAAGTCTCACTTTGTCAAAATTGTGATTGGGTTGGTCATAACGGGTCAACCACACACAGTAGACAAACATTGAATTGTTACTCGGGTTGCCCTTCGGCTGTTGAACTTTCATCTATTTGGTCGTTTATGACGGAATTGCCCTCGGTTATTGATTCTACTTGTGAACAAGGAATTGGGTCAATGAGCATTGCTGATAATAGTCAAGGACCTTCTAAAAGCAACAATAATCAAGATGTAGTTGCAAATGAATCGAATTTATGGACAGGTTCTTTAAGTGTTCGTGTTGATGATAAACAGGAAAATGTAGTTCAACAAGTTGGACAGTTGAATTCTTCTTCATCAAAGGTAAATTGGGTTGGTTTATGTGATGTTACTTTTTCTACTGATTATGATTATGCTTTTTTAGTGGGTAAATGTAAAACATCTCTAATAACTATGAAAAAGCGCATGCAAACACCCTCACATTTGTATTTTTTTTTTATTATGCATCAAGTAATGGAATTTTTGTGTGTTGTACTTGTTTACATGTAGATATCACATTCAGGGAAAAAAGATGCTGAAGCATGTGATGATGATGATGGATTCTATGTTGACTTTAATATGGATGAAGTTGACTTGAGCATTGAGAACTATGAAGAACTCTTTGGTGTAGGCCATAATGATCCTGAACATCTTTTTGCAAAAGATGGGATTGATTGTTTGTTTGGTGGTGCTGAATCAAATTGTCATGGTTCGTATGCTGCCAAGGTATTACTTTCACTCAATACAAATGAATATTTTAATTCAATTTGAAAAAAAAAGATGTAATTTTAATGTGTTTTTTTTATGTGGTTAGGAATCATCAACTGGACATGGGAATCAAGTGCAACCAGCATGCAGCAATGCAGCATCAGCCGATTCATTAATGAGCTGCAAAACAGAACCAAATCCTTGTTATGGAAGACAACACTCAAACATCTCATTCTCAAGTCTCACAGGAGAGAGTAGTGCTGGTGAATATCAAGATTGTGGAGCTTCTTCTTCAATGCTTCTAATGGGTGAGCCACCATGGTTCATCCAGGGTGGTGGTGGTGGTGGCTCTGATCAAACCACCACCGCTATTGGTAGCAGAAGTGATGCTGTCCTCCGTTACAGGGAAAAAAAGAAGATGAGAAAGTGAGTATCTTTACTACTCTTTCTATAATGAGATATGAATGAAAAAGATAGTTTTTGGTATGCATTAGTCAAAGAGGGAATGGAATCGAGCATTATGACGGAATGGAATATAGGATTCCTCCCTCGCAGAATATGTGATTCCTTCTCCTGGACTGATTTTCATTCCACGGAGGAGGGGTGTGTTTTTATTTTTCATTCCTTGATGGAATGGAATGATATATTATATTTATAAATTACTTTTATTTATATAAAAAAAAATCAAAAGCTGAATTAACTTATGTTTTGTTATTTTCTAAAGATAATTAAAAATACTTTTTGATTATAATTCGGTTTTAAGATTTCATGATAATTAATTCTATTTTATAAAAATAACATCTTGTCTCTATTTATTAATTTAATCTTTTACTTATACATGGCAAACGACATGTTTAAATGACTCATTCCATTCCTTCAACAAACTAAACATGATAATGGAATGTAATGATCCATTCCATTACTTTGTTCATTCAGTTACGTTGTTCATTCCATTCCATATTACACATATCCTGACTATGATCTTAAACCCTAAACCTTAAATTTGTGTTTTCCGTGTGATAGATTTGAGAAGAGAGTAAGATATGCAACACGAAAGGCACGGGCAGATGTAAGAAAACGTGTGAAAGGGCGATTCGTGAAGGCTGGTGATGCGTATGATTATGATCCCATGAGTCAAACTCGAAGCTACTAAGAATCTTGACATGTTTCTTTATGATATGAAAATAAGTAATGAGAATGATTCCGATTCCGATTTCAAGATTCATCTGAATCATCTGATTCCCACATCTTCGCACCAGTTCCAAGAACAACAATATTTGTCGTGATGTCAACACCCCTCGGGCTAAACTTGGTTTTAGTCTGTTTTTGTTTCTTCAAATGGTAAATGTTTTTTGTTGAAAGAACACAGGGTTTATTGTCATGGCGGGCGTCGACTTGTTGGGATCAGGGATGATGATTGTTACTGTAGACTTATGATGTAATTATGTATGTATCTACATAAGCATATTTGGATGCATGATGAGATAGAAAAATTTGTGATAATTGTTGTGTTTTTGTTGGTATGTAAAAAAAATGGGAGATGTAAATCAAAGTTGAATTAGGGTTTGAGTATTAAACAACTTTTTGTAGGATGGGTTTTGTGTTTTGTGGTAGTTTTGATGATTCTTCTCATGTGAAAATGTGTTTTGCTAGTTTTGTAATTGGTTATCGAAATCCGATTAACCATCGATTTTGAAGTTTCAATTGTAATCTTCGAATATCCGTTGCATATTTGAGCGTTTATGTTTTAAAATTTAATAGTATCACATTTGAGTGTTTGTGTTTTAAGTTTTAATAGTATCGAAGGTTTAGGCTTAATCAAGTTCAAACCTCATTAAATTTGGATGATATTTAGTGAGTTATTGATCCATTAACATCATCCGATGAGTTTTTGAAAGGGCATTGAGCGCGGAGGGAAGGGAGATTTAATGCTTTGAACAAAATTATTTTAAGCAACACAAAATTATACAACCAAGTAATAAGATTTGAGTGATCACAACTACACATGTATCAAACTGAAGTATAGGGAAGAAAATTGCAAACCAAACACAAAGACATATTATGGTTGGATTCTACATCAACGGCTTACTACACTTGTTGGGTGCATTTTGTGCATCTTTTGCCATGTCTTTTAACCAATATTTGCATCATAAATAGCATAATACTTTTGCACATTTTCAAAAAATACATGTATTCTAGTGAACAACCTTATTTTCACATTTGTGTGGTGAAGTTGGACATGGGTCATGTTGACTGAAGAAGAAGTTTGACTTGTAGGCAGACACAGACTGGGTTCAATTACACTAAATGGGGATTGGTCGTGTTCAATTGAAATGAACACTTTTTAGCATTGGATTTTGGATTAAGACTCGTATAAGGCAACTTATTTTACCCTTAATATGGGTCATGTTCCTTTTGCACTAAATTGACACGGCTGTGTCCTGTGTGTAACCACTTGGCAGTTTTCCCTTTTTGTCTTATTATAAGATTTGGATCATTTTTATGCAGGTGTTTCATTTCAGAACCCCAATCTCTAGAGACAGGAGATTTCAAAGACTTTTGATAGGTTTTGATCATAAAACATTTGGAAACGTTAATTGTCTGATTTGTAAGTTTTATTTGTGTATTATCTTGCACTACTAGAGTTAGTTTATTTATTTTATTCATGTTTGGATAAAACCCTAGCTTTCTAATTATGTGTTTAGACTATGGTTTGTAATTCAGTAATGTGATTTAATGTTCTTTTTCAATCCTATCTAGTGGATTTTGTTTTGTTTGAATTAAAAGTTTGATTTTGATTTTGATGTTCTTTTTCAATCTTATCTAGTGGATTTTGATGTTCTTTTTCAATCCTATCTATAAGGCAACTTATTTTACCCTTAATACGGGTCGTGTTCCTTTTGCATTAAATTGACACGTTGTGTCCTACCTGTAACCACTTGACAGTTTTCCTTTTTTGCCTTATTATAGGATTTGGGTCATTTTTACGCAGGCGTTTCATTTCAGAACCTCAACCTCTAGAGATAGGAATTTCAAAGACTTTTGCTAGGTTTTGATCATAAAACATTTGGAAACGTTAATTATCGGATTTGTAAGTTTTATTTGTGTATTATCTTGCACTACTAGAGTTGTTTATTCATTTTATTCATGTTTGGATAAAACCCTAGCTTTCTAATTATGTGTCTAGACTATGGTTTGTAATTCAGTAATTTGATTTGATGTTCTTTTTCAATCCTATCTAGTGGATTTTGTTTTGTTTGAATTAAAAGTTTGATTTTGATTTTGATTCTTGTTGGCCACTTGAATTATTGTTGCAACATTCAGGTTAATTGATTTGAAAATTTTGTCATTGTTTTGTGAATTGAATCTAATTTCAACAATTAAGTTAAATTCCATTGAATGATTTTAACGTAAACCAAGTTCACACATCTTCACACAAAGCTTAATGCAATCTTTTGATCTTTTTCTAAGAACTTGTTTATATTTAAATTAGGAGATTAAGTTTCTTTCAAAGAGCTTGTTTTTATTTTGTCAATTCGATGAATAGAAATGGAAACGGGGTCGGGAAATACAGGGGACCCCAATCCCCCTCCCCATCCCCAAATTATTATAGCAATCCCCATCCCCATCCTCATCCCCGTCCCCATCAGGGAATATAAATAAACCCCTATCCCCACCCCAACGGGGACTAGGGATCCCCAGCGGGGAATCAGAAATTTCTTTTACTCTTTTAATATGAAAACTTTTACATAAAGAAAAACTCTAAATTTCAATTTTACCAGCATAAGTTTACAGAATTTACAAAAATATAAAAATATTCATAGATTGCATAAAAAATATAAACTAATTTTCTACCAAATTTAAATAAATACATGAAAAATAAAGTAAAAAAAAAATTATCATAGTGATATTTGAGGTAAAATAGATAAACCAGATAGAAAAAAGTATACATGAGTTTAAATTATATAAAAAAAAAAGAAAAATTATAATTCAACCAACTAATTGCTAATGAGTTATGTTACTTGGATTAAATTTTATGTATTGTAAATTGTAATGTAAATATATGTTTTGTATTATTTTTATATATTAGTATATATCGGGGGCGGGTCCAGGGTCGGGGATTAGGGGTATCCCCATCCCCGGTCAACTCGGGGATTCCCCAGTCAAAACGGGGTGCGGGTTTCGGGTTCCCCATCGGGTATGGGGTTTTTTGTCATCCCTATCGATGAATGGGAAGCATTAGAGTTTGTTAACATTTCCAATTATTAACTTATGTAGATGTAGATATGATTTAATGTCATATACCAAGACTATGTTTGGCGCGTCACAGCTAGCTGATAAGCTAACTTATTTTTTGAACTTTTTAAAATTGTCATGTTTTGCAAGTCAAAAAAGTAGTTTATATGCTATTTTTTTAAAAGCTAGACTAGTTTTTTAGGAGTTTTTTTTTAAAGAATTTTTCAGAGATACCCCTTAATTAATTATAGAAACACATTCTTTTAAATGTCATTTTATATTTTTCAGCTAGCTTTTCAGCCAGTTTTACCAAACAACATTTTTTTATCAGCTAGTTTTTTATTTAATAGCTAGTTTTTCAACTATTAATTACATTTTCAGCTAACAGCTAGTATGTGAAACATAACACAAATGAATTTCAACAATATAGTCAAACATAGGATTAAAACTTCATTATTTTTGCATTCTACTTTACATGTTCTTTCCGTCTATTTAAATAGCACCTTACATGACTTACATGCATTTGTTGGTAGAATCAAAATAAATTTGAACTACACAAATAACACTACTGATGTTTTTCACAAATAAAGTACTATTTACTCTAAGGAATGTCCTCTTATAAGTCAAATATGTAAGGAATATCCTCTTATAAGTCTAACATCTAAGTCATTTTGGGTTTGGTCTACAAAGACATGAATCATTATATTAAAAATAGCAAGTCATTGAGCAAGTATGATGCATGCAATACTTACAACTCAATAAACAAAACAAGATACCAAGAAATTAAGCTAACCACAAAGAACACAAGATTTAAGTGGTTTGCACTCTCCCGCAAGAGGCTACTACACTAGACAACTTCATGTTGATAGTGGAACCACAAATGTTTTTTCCCATGTGGTTGATTATTATTTACTTTGTTCCTTTATCGTTTAGCTATTATTGTTGGGAAAAACTTTGTTTCGATCCCTTTTCTTCGGTATTTGGTTGTTGGTACAAGTTCACATTCATTTAGTGGACCATGACTTTCAAAAACCCAACAGATCTAGTTGTTATAAATTTATCAAATTCCCCCGCTTCACTTCGATATTCCTACTAACCTCTTATTCTTCTACAATATACAAAAGAGTTGAGGTAAATATAAAACATTAATATGAAGAAACGATCGATTACAATCTATTACAACTGTTTCCATATTATGCCCTATTTATTCATCATTATTTACATGCATCTTTTTTCCATTATCATATAAAGAGGAGTGATAGCTATTTTTATATTTTTCTTTTAGTCACAAAATGAAAACATCAAATATCACATGGCCTAACTAACATAATATTGAAATAAGATACCACCCATGATTTTTTTTACCAAACGAATACCTTTAAACGCATTTAATATCCATGTATATGCTTTCTTTTTTGCTTTGTAGGCTTAGACCAAGGTAGAGATGCATGATTCGTGATACCTAACTCTCCTTTCTTGAATATGATGTGCACAAATTTGGTCTTTGAACAAGAACAATGCCTAATTATGGATTGTGGTCCCAACATGTACTACTAAATTAATAAAATATTAAATATAATTATTAATATTATTTGTAATTAGAGTTTATAATAAGTAAAGTAAGGTTGGGTTCGAGTTTACACTTTAATTATACATGTTGAAATGTTTAATTCGATCTAACATATTTAATCTAACATCCGTGTAACATTCCGTTTTCACATTCCAATTGAACTTAATATAAATTGTCAATATATAATCATGTAGGAAAGGTCAATACGAATCTGACTTCATATGAAAAGGTTATGCTTCTTCAAAACCGAAAGTCATAGTAATCTAAACAAAAGTCATAGTAATCGTAAAACCGAGAGCTTGCATGTAGAGAATGTCCAAATCTGACTCCGTATGAGGGAGTTGTGATTTTTTGAAGTTTCAGGGTAGCAGTGTGCGACACAGATATCGAAATAGAAATCGTCTGATTGTTAGCTGACACAATCTAAATGAGAGTTGAAGATCTCGTAGATACAATTTTGTCGATATGAAGACTGTCGAGAACGGATGTCGATAAAAGATATATAAATTTTAAACGAAGTTTAGCCGTCTAAGTTTTCTAAAATAATAAATTAAAAATAAGGTGAGAATTAGCTAATGGAGTCTAAATGAAAGTGGTAGTACTTGTCGATAGCTATGCGTTGATAGAAAGAACGTCGAAAACAGAGCTCGCATCTAACGTCCCAAAAAAAATTAATACCAAAAGTTTCGATTTTTATATTAATAAACCATCAACCCAATCCATATCTTTAAACCATATTGAAAATCAGAGTGTGTCAAATAATATCCAAGTACATCAGAGTCATATAAAATGTGAAACAATATGGTATGTGCAATGCAGTCATTC